ATCACCTCATTGGCACCACAGCCAGTCATTAACTTCCCTTGTAAGTTCTCTGGGATTCACCACATGATGTCTGCTGTCACTTCCTTGTTCAGTCTCTTTTCTCATCTCTCCTGGACTCTTGTCCCTCTCTCCTTAATTTCTACTCTTCTCTTCTCTTACCTTCCAGTCCAGCCTCCACACGGCTGCCAGACTGATCTCGCCTAAACCCCAAACCTGATTATGTTGCTATCTCATTAAAACCTGTCAGTGGCCCCCATTGTCCTATTCCTCTATTCTTCTGCTTAACTAAGGAGGTGGTACCTTATTTTTCTATACTCTTCTCCTTCCACTCTCTCACGTACGGCAAGTGCTGGGGGTTCTCCGTACCAGAACTCGTACTCATCTCTCCATTCACTTCCCATGCTAGTCCCCCTTTCTGGAATGCCCTTCTCTTCCTGGTTTGCCTGAGGAACATCTTTTCAGCTCATCCCTAAAAAATAAATGAGCAGAAAACATCCTGGATTCAGAGAAGAGTTCCATAGCTTCTCGGCCTTCACCGATTGCCACTCTAAGCAGGGTTAGATGATCCCTTTTTGCTGTTCCCAAAACATCCTGTGCGTGTATCTGTTGTAGAGTTTAGTATAGCGTCTAATGATGTGTACCCTTGTCAGCTTCCTTACAAGTGGTGCTCCTTAAAGGCAGAGATTTTTTTTTTCTTGTTCACTTTTTTATCTATGGTATTTAGCATATTGCCTGGGAGTTAGTAGTTTAGTAACTATCAAATGTTCTAGTAATAATAGTATAGTTGGAGATAGGGACTGATACTTTGGAGAACTGTTAGGATTTAAGATTTATGCCCATGAAGATGGTTAAAACTAGAGAGTAGGAATGGTGGCTTACGCCTATAAGCCTAGCACAGTGGGAGAGTTGCTTGAGGCTAGGAGTTTAAGACCTGCCTGGGCAACAGTGAGACCCAGTCTCTAAAAAATTAAGAAAAAATTAGGCCAGCACGGCAGTGCACACCTGTATTCCCAGCTGTTAAGGATGCTGATGCTGAGTTAGGAGGATCAAGTGAGCCCAGGAGGTTGAGGCTCCATTGACCTATGGTCCCACCACTGCATTCTAGTAGCTTAGGCAAAAGAGAGAGACCTTATCATTTGTTCATGCACTAACTTTGAAAAGATGTTTTTCCATCTACCAGCTGCTGGCTGTAGTTGTCTATAGCTGTCTACAGTAATTCTGTAGACCTAATACCCCTAAATAAAAGAACCCATACGAAGTGAGTTCTTCCGTTTTTTCTCCTTCCAGAAGCTCTGGTGCTTTTTACTTCTTCTGTATCCCTTTCTAACTTGTAATAAAAGTCCTATCTTCTGGCTCGGCACCTGTGGCTCAAGTGGCTAAGGTACCAGCCACATACACCTAAGGTGGCGGGTTCGAATCCTGCCCGGGCCCGCCAAACAACAATGACGGCTGCTACCAAAAAATAGCTGGGCGTTGTGGCAGGCATCTGTGGTCCCAGCTACTTGGGAGGCTGAGACAAGAGACTCTCTTGACTCCAGGAGTTTTGGAGGTTGCTGTGAGCTGTGATGCCACGGCACTCTACCCAGGGAGATAGCTTGAAACTCTATCTCAAAAAAAAAAAAAAAAAAGTCCTATCTTCCTACTGAAAAAAAAAAAAAAAAAGAGAGAGACCTTGGCTTGGTACCTGTATTCCATGGTTAGGGCACTGGCCACATACACTGGGGCTGGCGGATTTGAACTGGCCTGGACCTGCTGGACGACAACTACAACAACAACAACAAAATAGCCGGATGTTGTTGTGGGCACCTGTAGTCCCAGACACTTGGGAGGCTGAGGCAAGAGAATCACTTAAGCCCAAGAGTTTTGTTTTTTTTTTTTAATGAGGCTTACTTTCTCACCCTCAGTAGAGTGCTGTGGCGTCACGGCTCACAGCAACTTCCACCTCTTGGGCTTAGGTGATTCTCTTGCCTCAGCCTCCCAAGTAGCTGAGACTACAGGCGCCCACCACAATGCCTGGCTATTTTTTTATTGCAGTTTGGCCAAGGCCGGGTTTGAACCCACCACCCTTGGTATATGGAGCCAGTGCCCTATCCACTGAGCCACAGGTGCTGCCTGAAGCCCAAGAGTTTGAGGTTTCTGTGAGCTGTGATGCCATGGCAACACAGTGAAACTCTGTCTCAAAAAACAAAAAACAAAAAACAAAACCAAAAACAAAAGAGAGAGAACTTGCCTCGTAAATAAATAAATACATAGAAGAGAAAAAAATTAATAAAGAAAATAGCTAAAGTACATAATACTAATACCTTGATATGTATTGCATCAAATGACTTACAAAGTATTTTCACAAATATTTCATTATTGTGTCCCACCCTAAAACACAGTGAGAGAGGCAGGGCAGGCATTAATATTTCTATTTTAGACACTTGGCCTTTAGAGAACTTGGCCTGACATGGTGGCTCATGCCTGTAATCCTAGCACTCTGGGAGGCTGAGGTGGGTGGATTGCTTGAGCTCAGGAGTTAGAGACCAGCCTGAACAAGATCATGACTCCGTCTCTACTAAAAATAGAAAAAAATTAGCCAGGTATTATATTGGGTGCTTGAGGTCCCAGCTACTCGGAAGGCTGAAGCAGGAGGATCTCTTGAACCCAGGAGTTTGAGGTTGCTATTAGCTAGGCTGACACCATAGCACTCTAGCCTGGACAATAGAGTGAGACTCTGTCTCAAAAAAAAGAGAAAAAGAAAAAAATCAAGAACTTGAAGCTTAGAGAAGTGAAGTAACTTGCTTAAAGTCTTGAACAATAACATAAATCAACATATGCATTGTGTTGAACGTAAGTGCCCGGCTTCCATCCTCTGCCGCCAAATCTGATGGTCCTTGTACTGCATCAGTATCGGGAAGGGTAAGGTTTGGGACAGGCACGTTTTGGAATGCACCTACATTTGGAGGTCAAGGAAGAGGAGTGACTCAGAGAAGGAGGTAAATAGTGCAAGGACAAGTTTTCAGAAGGGGAGGGTATCATCAGTGATATCTTTGCGCAGTCGAGAAAAATAGGGGAGGATGAAAGAGTTCAACCACGAGGAAGTTGAAGGGAATGATTTTGTACATGGACATTGAGGGAAATGGCTACTCGACTACTCTTTCAAGAAGTTTTGGTGGCACGGCGCTCATAGTACAGTGCTTATGACGCCAGCCGCATACACTGAGGGGGGCAGGTTTGAACCCGGCCCAGGCCAGCTAAACAACTGCAACAAAAAAATAGCCAGGTGTTGTGGTGGGCGCCTGTAGTCCTAGCTTAAGCCCAAGAGCTGGAGGTTGCTGTGAGCTGTGATGCCACAGCACTCTACCAACGGCAACATAGTGAGACTCTGTCTCAAAAAAAGAAGTTTTGGAGGTGGCGTCTGTGGCTCAAGGAGTAGGGCACCGGCCCTATATACCGGACCTGGCAGGTTGAAACCTGGCCCCGGCCAAAAACA